GCTTGTAGTTCCTTGTCAAATTCCTCTGAAGATGTTTTACGCCCTGGTTTGGGACTAGTTGGTAGAGGTGGAGGTGAAGAGGAAGGCGCGAATGGTGGTATAGGTATAGTAGAGTTAATCACTTCTGCTGTTTCTAGAGGAAGCTCTGATATAAGTGTGGCAACGCAAGTAACTGGTGGATCTATTGAAATAGGAGGTGCCTCATAAAGATTTGTTTCATCATAACTATTTATGTGTTGTTGAGACATTCTTTCACTTTTCTGTACTGAGGTTTCTATTAAATCAACTGCGTTGTTATCAATAGTTTGCGAGATATCTACATCATGTCCATTATTTCTAGCTACTTCTTGCATCATTTCTTGATATTTTGCCCTAGTTACTGGTAAAGTATAAATCTGCCCTCCATGTTCTATGTACCCTATTGCATCAGGCTCATCGCTATTAAATTTAACAGGTTTAGGCGAGCTAACCTCAACTAGTTCTTCATTATCGTCATAGTGAGCAGTAAAATATACCGCGCGATTAGCAGCAATATTGTTGCCATTCTGGTCCTTGACAGCTAAAGAGAGATGCATTGGTCCTGTACCGCCCTCAAGGCTTCTCGGAAAATCTATAGTACGGTAGCTGCGAATTTCTACACTAGTACCATCACTTTTCTGTACCATTTGAGGAGGGGTGAGTTTATGTGTTGACTCGGTTAATTTAGCAATCTCATCACCATTGCTATTACGTACTATTTGAGTCTTGGTAGTAACCCCAGTTCTATTATTTTTTCCAGCTCCATCACTCCAGTTCATAGTAGAAAATCTACCACTAAATTGGGAATGTACTGTTTGATACCCTTTGATCTCTGCCTGTTCTAATAATGCTTTGGTTCTTGGGTTATTATGAGCTTCCTTAATATGTTCCTGATGTTCTTCATCAGCACAATATTTACGGAATTTTTCTGGATCACTAACCTGTTCTTCTTTTGCTAGTTGATTATCTATTAAATATTGAGTTATTATATTCCTTTGCTCTTCTATGATTTCTTTTCTAATAGCTGCAATTATGGGATCAATACTATCAAGATGAAGATCCTCTTTTTTGAGAACAGCTTCTGCTTCAGTATCATGAAAGAACACTTGATCTAGAGCTAACTCATCTTCTTCAGATATAAGATATGGATCTAGGCTAGTGGTATCGCTTAGATTCAGAGATGGTTCTTGGTCATTGCCTGACAAAGCTTTACCAGCCTT